TGCCCATATCTAGTTCGGAAAGCGATTTTCTCTATGTCTTCTGCCTTAACTTTCAATTGGTGGTATTCGGATCTAAGATCAATTTTGGAAAACACTTGGGCTCTCTAGAGTTGGTCAAACAAATCATCTATTCGGGGTAGTGGATATTTATTCTTAACGATTACTTTATTCAATTCACAGTAGTCAATACATAGCCTCAAAGACCCGTTTTTCTTCTTGACAAATAGAAGGGGAGCACCCCAAGGTGAAGTGCTCGGTCGGATAAACTTTTTGTCTAACAATTCTTGAAGTTGGACTATCAATTCTTTTAATTTAGAGGTCGACATTCTATAAGGGGTTTTGGAAATCGATTATGTTCTAGGTACTACCTCAATGGTAAATTCAATTTCTCTATCAATCAGATCTCCAGGTAATTCATTGGAAAACACATCAGGAAACTTGTATACTACATAAATGTTCTCGACCTTAGCATTATTGGCAGTCACATTCAGAATACAACATATATAACCTCGACAACCTTTCTCGCATCAGTTTACTGGCTTTCAAAAAAGAGATCAAGTACGATGGAGAAACTACCCCATTCTTAACAAATACAACTTTAGGTAACACTAGAGGTCAAAATACAACAAATTTATTCACACAATCAATAGTAGCATAATACTTTGTCAACCAATCTATGCCCAATATACAATCAAAATGATCAATACTCAAGGGGAGCAAATCAACATACAACAACATATCACTAATCAAAATATCACGTGCCGGGTAAATATAAGCACATATCATGGAACCCCTAGATGGTATAGAGACAGATAATACGTAGCTCATTTGTTCTAGAGGTCTAGTCAACTTTTGAAAAAAAGCATATGACACAAATGAATTGGTAGATCCAGAGTCTTTTAAGACATATGCATTTTGAGCACAAATAGGAAGTATACCTGACATCATAGATTCAGTGTTCTGGACGTCTCTAGGCACAAGTGCAAAAACTCAGCCTTGTCTCAAACTTTCCCTTCCGGTGTTAGCTCTAGCATTAGTTCTTAGTGCAAGAGTGGATCCGGCTGAACTTGCCGCAAGACGATTGACGTTTTCAGCTGTGAGTAGGCAATCTTTCATCATGTGGCCAATCTTGCCACACCGGAAGCAAGCTCCTGTTGATCAGTAGCAGGGGCCATTATGTTTCCTGCTATATTCTGGGCAAGTAGGTGTTGTACTACTACTTTGACTTGAACTACTGGAGGACACCCTGTATTTTGCTTCTTTGAAAATAACCGGCCTTTCTTGGAATTAAACCCAAATCTTTTGTCTTTCCATTCAGTTGTTAGAGCTTTCGTTTGTTTCATTGCAACTAAATTAGCTTTATCCAATAAAGCTCTATCAATTACATCCACATATTTGAGCAGTTTAATACACCAACCCTATCAAACACTTCCAATGTCAAGCCTCTTTCAAATTTTTGAGCTTTCTTATAATCTGTGTCTACCATGTGTAGGTAAACAGGGCTAACTCAGTAAATTTGGCTTCATATTCAACCATAGACATGTTTCCTTGCTTTAGTTGTTCAAGCTCGGACACCTTTCGATCTCAGAAACACTGTGGGAAGTATTTTTCATAGAAAATCTCTTTAAATTGATTCCAAGTTCAAGCCCCATTAGTGTCTCAGATAAGAATCCGCCAACATCGGGCTTCGTCTTTAAGAGTTAAGTTGCTAACAAAACTTTTTGGACTTCAAAACATGGAAAGACTTCAAATAGTTTTTCGGTTTCTAGCATCCATGTCTCGACCTTTAACGGTTCAATACCACACAGAAAAGTTGGTGGCTTCATCTTGTTAAATTTCTGAGTCAAATTGAAAATTTCATTGTTGACCAGCTCTACTTGGACTGGAGGGGGTGGAAGAGGTAGAGGTTGTTGTCTCTGTTACTATATCATTGATTTTGTTAAAGCCTCTAACATCCGTTCCATGTAATTCATTTAAGCCTCGAAAGATTTAGCTGTACCATCACTTCCTAGATTTTCCATTGCTATAGGTAAACATGGCACTAATAAACATAGGCAAATAACCTTTACAGTCCCTCAATGTTCATGTTTAGTTTAGATATGTTCGTATCATTTCACAATAATTCAGATTTGCTCAGATATTTACATACGCACACTCACGCGTACAGATGTAATGTCCCTAATTCTTTTCTAAGACATCATATAACTCATATGGACTCATATGTGTGGTAGAACACATGCTCTAATACCACTCTGTCATGACCTAAACCTGTCCCTATAGGTTTAGCATCGTAACTGGCCAGTAATCTGGTCATGCGCTTGGTCACCTACATACATAAATAATACTGTGAGCTGAAGCCTAGTGAATAACAACAAAGTAAAGAGTTTATGAATGATGTCCAATTAGTTTCAGAAATCAGAGTTCATATCAGAAACATATTCAAATTCAGATTCATATACTTAACCAGAAGTCATAAGCAGTTATATATGATACATCCATTAGCTATCATATCAACTTCATCTTGAGACCCATATACGTAGTCGGTACCAACGACCTTAAAGGTCCATATCTTGTGCACAAGTAGCCACGGTATTGTTTCCCCCAAGCAAGGGCCATGTGAACGTAGACCACAGTATTGTTTCCCCGAACAAGGAGCCATATGATCATAAGCCACAGTTGTGTTTCCCCCAGGCGAGGGCCATATAAATATAAGCCACAGTATTGCTTCCCCCGGGCGAGGGCCATGTGAACTAAGGATGCCACAAATACATTTCAAAAAATTGGACATTTATTCATGATTCACAAAATAGCATTTCATAAACTAAATATATCTTATCATTCTGAAATTACGTTTATTCAAACTTAGCATTACAGAGTTGTTATTCACAGATAGCTCTGATAGTAGAATAGTCAGAACAGTCAAATCACACAATCTATGGTGCGTGACCTACTCAAACACATAGTGGATACACATTGAAACATACACTCGAAAAATACTTAACTTAATTCTTTTCTATCTTGGTGTGTTTTTAATCTTTATCCTCATTATTATGTCTTAATTAGGGCTTAGGAATGCCTAAGATACAATGAGGATGCCAAAATGTGATTTGAAACACTTAGATAAATTTGTTGAAAACATGGTCTTCGCTCGAGCACAACTTCCTATGCTCGAGTGGTCTGCAAAACTCTGTAAAACATCCGGGAGCTCTCATTTTACGCTCAAGCACAACCTCCCACGCTTGAGCGGTGGATCAAAAAAAAGGGCGGTCGCTTGAGCGCAGGTTCTACTGTTTAAGTCAATCCCCAAACTCTGCAAAAGTACTAGGAGCTCGCATTCTTCGCTCAAGTGCAACTTCCTTCACTTAAGCGAAGAGTGTGAATTCTAGAATTCCAAACTGCACTTCCAGCTTTAAAAGTCAAATTCAAAGCTTCAAAACACATCCTTTAGGGCCAAAACTTAGGAAAACATTTGTAACTTTGTAATACATTATGAATTAAAGATCATTTCACAAAATCAAAGCCCAAAGGCAAGTGAATTGTTTAATGTGAAACTTGAAATTTTGAAAACATAACATGCATGTAATGATATAAGCTTCAATCTTCCAAAACATGATCAATTGAGATGTTTGGTACAAAAACATGTTGAATTCTTAAAACATAGCCAAGGTAAGGTTATGCATGTGAAAATTCTCTTAAAACAACTTTAAAACTCCAAGATATGTACATGAACGCATCTATTAGCTTCCAATTCTCCTATACAAACTTAATTCTTGCATTAATCAACTTAATTCTCTTGAATTCATGTGTTAAGTGACTCAATTATAATACTAAAGGCTTGAATTCTTACCTTAACTGTTCAATTGGGCTTTAAATGACCAATTCTTAGAGTCTCCAAGCTAATTCCTCAAAATTTCCTAGCTAATCTCCCTTCTCAAGCTTTGATCTCAATTTTCTTCCTTCTTTCTCTCTCTCTCTCTCTCTCTCTCTCATGTGTATAAGCTCAAAGAAATGAAGAGAAAAATGTTGTTGAGTCACCCTAAGTCTTATATAGGCCTAATTAGAAAGCCTTAATTAATTCTTAATTAAGCTAAGTAATTATAATTACTTTATTCTAATTATTTGATTTCGAATCAAATTTCAATTAAACCTATCATAAAATTCTAAATAACACATAAACAGAGTCAATTCTGTGATTGGATGCCGATAAGGCCTTCAATTCACATATCGAATAAAAAATATAGATATATACAAGCATAAACAACACAATACACATGCAAATAATTTAGAATTTCCTCTTAATTACTTATTAAGCATTCTTAATCTTGGTTTAATAGTTAATCATAGGTCGGGCTCGTTACAATGCTTGTCAATACCATTTGGTTGTTTTGTCGATACTGTTTGGCAGCATTGTTGCACTCACATGTGTAAGACGAAGAGAGGATAGTACATCCACGTGCCCGGGAGAGGACAGGCAGGGAAGTGCGCGCACAAACTATATAAGCCTTGTAGCGCCTCTATATAACAGGTCTGAAATCTTTTGATAGAAAGCCATCTTCTCTTTTGTCTTTTTCTCTCTCTATAAGTGCTAACTTGATTGTCGAAGGGGTTTTCTGGCAATACACCCGCCAAGTAGCTTATTGTCGCTGCTTTTTCAGGTTTGACGACATTGTTCGAAGAAACGTGCAGCTTGGATATAAGGAGTACAGAAGCATATAATATTTGCCCCCATACACTGATATCATCATTATACGCAGATAAAATTGTGCGTTCAATTAAAAATGTTGGGGTCGATGTCTTTACCATTTTCAACTATAGGTAAACTATAGAGAGTAATTCATTCAAATCTTGACATTTTTATATTGTTGATGGAAGGTTGAGGATTTGTTGAGGATTGGTCCAAATCTAAAAAAGTGAAATCAATTAAAAAAAAATATGAGAGTGTAAACACAATTCATTAATTCAAAACAATTTATATAATAAACAAAAAAGTTAAAAGGGTGTTACTCCATCAAGAAATTTGCAAAATTAGCATTGTCATGGTTTTCATGATTCAAGCGCATATTCAAATCCAAAGTTAAGATACGTATATGCTTTCGTAGAATAGAGAGTCTAAGTGATGCATTCGCAATTTGCTCACGTACTCTTTTGAGTATAAATGGTAAGATTTGTCGAAAGTCTCCACCAAGAACAACAGTAATACCCCCAAATGGCTTTTCACTGTCACAAATATCCCTTAGTGCACAATTAACTACCTCAACATAATGTCTATGTTGCATAGGAACTTCATCCCAAATTATGAGTTTTGTTTCTCTAAACAACTCAGCTTGTAATTGTTGTTTGCTAAACTCACAAAGTGAATCTTCCAAGACATCTAATGGAATGAAAAATGTTGAATGTGTAGTGCGACCTTCTACCAATAACAATGATACAATTCCAAATGAAGCTACAGTAACAACGATATGCCCAACGTTGCGACATTTTAATGCAATCATATTGTACAAAAAATGTTTTCGCTGTTCCAGCACTCCCATTCAAAAAGATAGTTCTTTTATTTTGTAAAATTGAAGAAGTGACTGTGTTATAAGCATTCTGGTATCTATTGTTGAGAAAATCAATAGTGTTATGTGGATTTGCCTATTGTGCCTCACTCTACAACTGTTGATGTTCGAATGTCAATCAATTACTAACTACTGCACTCCAATTTGCAGTAGGTTGTGGCATGGGTGAGAAGTCAATAAAACTTTTGCTTGATTCATGAAGCATTTGATTCAAAAGATAGAGACCATAATCTCCAATTTGAGCCTCAGTTAGGTTAGAAATGGCAAACAACAATGTACGAATCTTATGTGCAAGATCTCACATATATGCATTAATAATTGATTCCATAATGTGCATGGATTTATGGAGAGCACAAGGTGAGAATAATACTAAACAATCTCCTCAATTGGTATCTAGTTTTCATATTGTAGCCTCTTTCAAGTATTGTATCCATTCTTCATCATCTTCTAAAAGTCCTCTTGCAACATATGCTAATTTAACTATATCATGTACAACATTATCGATCATACGTAAAGACTGAAACGACTTTGGTCTTTTGACAATAGTTAGTAACAAACACAGATAAAATTTTTCACCACAATTAGGGATAACAAAGTACAATCTACCAATTGCATATCCATTTTCTCTTGATTTCCATCTCTTTTTCAACTTGAGCCAAACAAAATGCAGTGAAAATTCTTGATAAGTGAATAGACATTCATCTTCACTGGCAACACAATATGCAATGAAGATAGTAAGAGTTGATATTTGTTGACCAACTCTAGACAGAATCATTTCCAATGACTCTTCTGGATTAAAAACAATGCAATGCAATCCAGGTGAATAAAGTGTCAATTGTACAACTGTTGGCATCTCTGCATACAAAGGATGACCAAATATTCGCCAAGCAGCTTCTGGAGATCCAATATACTTCGCATCTAGATATTGTTGAATCTCATTTATCAATCCCAACACCATCATTGTACGATCATAACCCTTGTAAATGTATTTATGTATATATTTGACATGTCTTATTCTAGTACAAATTCTACATTTATATGACAGTTGAAAAGTTTAGACAAATATGCATCGTATGGTATGACATCCCTGTTATCAACTTCTTACCCTCTCACAGTATGTACTTGACCATTATTGCGACAACAATAAATAGAATATCCATCGTGATCCATAGTTGTTGTTTTTGTGAAAGCTCGAGGGTATCTCTTAGTGCATCTATCATTGTCCATACATGGTGCTTGCAGATTTTGAGCACCACATTGTCCATGTACCATATAACACTTAACAGTTTCAAAAAGCATAAGATCATCTTTTGGGTCTGGAAATTCTACATAGACCAATTTGTCTACTTGAGCACATGTCCGAATTTTGTTTTGACCCTTAATAAATAAAAGTGCATGCATATGAGGAAGGCCTCATTTTTTGAAATTCAATTGTAAAAACATGTGAACTTTATTTCTAAACACTTTATTTGTTTTTATCTCCTTCATCAAACACTTTCTCTTTAACTCAAAAACACGAGCAATTAAATAAGGGTGATCAATAGGTTTTTGATGTAGTAATAATGTTGAAGTAATTTCTAGCCAATTGGAATTTGCAGTCATGGTAAGAAAAATATCTAGGTGTTGGTTATATTGCGTGATAGCCCTTGAATCCTGAAAGATTTCAAACATATGTCTAAGACTGCCAGTAAATGAAGTTGGCAAAACAAACATTTGACCAATTTGACTAGGTCGCACATAATCTGGATCAATATCTAACAACTCTTGGTAAAGCTCAACCCGAAGTTTCCCTTGATTAAGCTTGTGTATGTCAATCGATTTTGCTAAGTTACGACCCAAGCATTTACAAAAAAACTCTTGAAATAGTTTCCAACCTCTCAAAATTTGTGGGTCGTTCAAACAAACGATAACTATAAAAATTCATTTGAGTAAGTCGATCAGTTGAAGGTCAATTATATTGAACGTTCTACAATTTTAACTCAGATTCCCATCCAAGCTCACCATATGAAAATAATATAACATAATGTAATGCAAGTATGCTAGGTGACATTCATTAATTTGCATCAACTCATTATTTTCTCAGAAATGTAAGATAATATCTCTCACTCCACCTACCTCTATTCCATCACTTGGTATTACAATCGCAATCTCATCTACAGTTGGTAGGTTATACCGATGTCGATCAGTCGTTGAATTGTAATGAATATGAGCAGGTAGATTGTGTCATGCCGAGTCTAATTGATGTAAAATGACATGAGCCTGGCAAAATTTATCTACAAGTGCATTGACTTACAACAAACTATCCTGATTAATTTTGAGAACATCCTATCTCAAGTTAGGATTTCTATGATTACAACTTTCTAAAGCTAAATAAGGTCATAGATATATAATTAAGCATAAGTCACACCTTGTCTTAGTTGTGGTTATAGTGATCCTATTCGATGTCGCAATTCCTTATGAATAGTGAGTGATGTACGACCCCTTTCATTGAGTACTCTAGCATCCAATGTAGCACCAAGACTCATAAAAGCATTGGTTGCATTGTATACTTAAGTATAACTTTGAAAGGATTTTGATTGATCATTATTTCCATCATACAACGCTTGAAGTGGTGGATGAGGTGTAATAAGTAAAGGTAGCTTAATCTTTCCTTCCAAACAGCAAGTTTCGAATAAGGGACACTTCATAGATGATTTTGTCAATTTTTCATTGATCCAGTGTAAAGCTGAACAATAAGGACATAATACATCCATCTTACCAAGATAATGGCGGCAAGAATCTTTGTATGCCCGAGCGCCAATTAATGTACTCATTGGCATATCTTCTAATTCATCATCAGTACATAGATGTTTTTGAAGAACTCAATTTATAGGAGTGGACCTACAAATATTTGTGTATAAATAAATTTTATAAAACAAAACGGTATGAGTAAGAGTATGTATTTTAAGATTAGACATAGTAGTTTACTGATTCCTTTGTGGAGCTAAAGATGTGCTTAGCATAGAAAACGAACATCTAGAATGATGGGTAACCATTGCTCATTTTTGTGCCGAATGAGAATCTTCAGTTATTGTTTCCCATTCTAGGCAAGCGTGATTGCGACGAATTGGTTTTAAAGAAGGGTTTCTTGGTTGAATACATTCTTCTGATACATCTTGTTCTCGTTGCAAGCATTAAAATTCAAATTATGACTTTTCATTTTTTTTCATGCTCTCGCTTTGCACGTTGGGCCAATGCAGCTTTTGATATTACATAATCATTTTGTGCCTAAAATGAAAATATTTTATCATTAGTGCTTAATATGTTAATATTATTGTCTAGCACTTTGTATTTGTTCTGTTGCATCTTCTCATTTCTTTCCTTTCTCTTAATTTTGTTTTCTATTTTATTTGTTTTATACCTTTAATTTTGTTATCTTTCTTTCTTTCTTTTTTTCCTGCATTTTGATTTTTATTAAAAAAACAAATAAGAATTAAAACCTGTCATATTTAGTTTCTCCTTTCATTATATATTTTTTTCTTTCTTCCTTCGTTTATTTTTTCCTCTTCTCTTCATTTATAGTCATATAAGTAACAAAAAATCTTATATAAATAAAATAAATACAATGTTTGTCTTGGTTTTGTACTTACCACATAAACACATATAATATTAAGGCCGTGCTCATCACAGATGACCACACCAACATTTTTAAATAAGGTTGTAGAAGCAGGCCTACAGATATGGGTTGTGAACAAATTAAAATCTATGTAATAAAGTGGTAATAGTAAGAGTATGTATTTCAAGAATTAAACACAATTTTTCAACATTTCTAGTGAAAATACATGCCCAGTGTTGAAAGTGACTTTTGGGCTTATCTCATGAATAATAACATCAATATTTCTTTCTTGAAGAAATCAGACCTATATATACAAAAGCTTTAGAGTGATAAATAAAACTTTATATACATAAATAAGAAAATTAGTAAGTCTCTATCCATCTATAAAATATGAGGAAAAAAAGCATTTTATTAGAAGAAAATTAGATAAAATAAGTTTTTAAAAAGTAAAGAAAAGAAAAAGAAAAGGCCTTACATTATAAGAGAGGTACTTAAATTTATATGGAAAAAAGAAAAATACTTGACCAAAAATAGTGATATTGTCCATAACTGTTGTACTTTAACCTAAAAGTGTTTGGTTATATAATTTTAGACACCAAGAAACAAAAAAAAATTAGCAATACTAAATCACTTATACATTCTTGAGAATTTTCATACAACCTTAAAAAAATTTACAACCATATATGGCAGTCAATGTCTTTTCCCAAACCACTTGGTAGTGAATTGAATAATAAAATTCAAAATTTTATTTAAATAAATAACTGTCATGGATATAAAATAATTAATAGGTTATAATTAATAAGAGAAGAAATAAAAATATAAACATCTAAGAAAAAGAAAAGGCCAACCCAATGTTTACAATAGATGGATTTTGGCAATCACATTGAAACCCTTTCTAAGGGAAAAGGAAATTATTAAAATGAGAAAATTAAATATTAAAGGAAATTATTAATGGGGTTAGAAATCGGAACACAATAACTGTCCAAATTTGGACCCTTCTCTTTTCCAACTGACTTCAATTTTATAAAGATGAAATCAAAACCAAAATCAAAACCCATTATAATCATAGGTATTTTGATTTCATCATAGAAATATATAAACCCATCATATTTGTAATCCATCAACGCAGAGAGAGAAATATGTAAAGAGAGAAAATGTAAAGCTATCATATTTGCAACTCCAAAAGACTTGTTTAGATGACCCTAATTTCTTTCATTAAATAATTATCAACCAAATGATGGTTTAAAAAAGAAAAGGGCATGATTTCATGGCAACCCATAATCTACCACTGCATTTTCTTATTGATTGCTCAGTTCAGTAACTGTAATAAAATAAGAAA